CCTGCTCACAGGAGGGCAGTCCTATATACCCATGTTTGACCTGCTCACAGGAGGGCAGTCCTATATACCCATGTTTGACCTGACCACAGGAGGGCAGTCCTATATACCCATGTTTGACTTGCCCACAGGAGCAGAGTCCTATATACACATGTTTGACCTGACCACAGGAGTGTAGTCCTATATACCATGTTTGACCTGCCCACAGGAGTGCAGTCCTATATACCATGTTTGACCTGCCCACAGGAGTGTAGTCCTATATACCATGTTTGACCTGCCCACAGGAGTGCAGTCCTATATACCCATGTTTGACCTGCCCACAGGAGTGTAATCCTATATACCCCTTTTTGACCTGCTCACAGGAGGGCAGTCCTATATACCCATGTTTGACCTGCCCACAGGAGGGCAGTCCTATATACCCATGTTTGACATGCCCACCCCTGTTTGACCTGACTACAGGAGGGCAGTCCTATATACCCATGTTTGACCTGACCACAGGAGGGCAGTCCTATATACCCATGTTTGACCTGATCACAGGAGGGCAGTCCTATATACCCATGTTTGACCTGACCACAGGAGGGCAGTCCTATATACCCATGTTTGACCTGACCACAGGAGGGCAGTCCTATATACCCATGTTTGACCTGATCACAGGAGGGCAGTCCTATATACCCATGTTTGACCTGCCCACAGGAGGGCAGTCCTATATACCCATGTTTGACCTGATCACAGGAGGGCAGTCCTATATACCCATGTTTGACTTGCCCACAGGAGTGTAGTCCTATATACCCATGTTTGACCTGATCACAGGAGGGCAGTCCTATATACCCATGTTTGACCTGATCACAGGAGGGCAGTCCTATATACCCATGTTTGACCTGATCACAGGAGGGCAGTCCTATATACCCATGTTTGACCTGCCCACAGGAGGGCAGTCCTATATACCCATGTTTGACCTGCCCACAGGAGTGTAGTCCTATATACCCATGTTTGACCTGCCCACAGGAGGGCAGTCCTATATACCCATGTTTGACCTGCCCACAGGAGGGCAGTCCTATATACCCATGATTGACCTGACCACAGGAGTCCTATATGTTGGCAGACGACACAAAACTAATGAGAATATTTAAGACAGAAGAAAGACTGAAAGATATCCCAAGATAACTTAACATTACTGCGGTACTGGTCCGGGAAATGGCTACTGGAATTCAACCCCAGCAAGTGTAAGGTGGTGGAGCTAGGAGAGGGCGACCAGAGGTATGAAGGGTGGTACACAGTGAAGGGACACTCCTCATCTGTAGCAACTTGACAACAACAGTTATGAGTGAATATAAAGTCAACTATAAAGAGTCTGCAGGGGCCAGATTCACGAAAGCACTTACGCAAACACTTACGAACCTGTCCATCTTTTCTCAATCTTTGGCGGCTTTGTTTCCAATTATTAAACAGTTAATGAGCTCCGAAACACCAGGAGGCTGTTTATAACAATAATAACAGTTGAATGGGAAGTTTTCATGCTTGTAAACTGTTTAATAAATGTAACCAAAGCCGTCAAAGATTGAGGAAAGATGTACACGTTCGTAAGTGTTTGCGTAAGTGCTTTCGTGAATCTGGCCCCTGGACAAGTATAAAGCCAAGTCTAACTATACATGTACATCTATAACAACAGCAGAACACTCCACTTGGACAAGCGTCAGCACATCATTCGTGAACCTAAATAAGGCGGCCTTCAGATCACTGTACACCGCCTACGTGAGACCAGTTCTAGAGTATGCAGCCCGGCCCCCGTCCCAAACACCACAAAAGGAAACATGAAAAGATTCAGAGGTTAGCAACGCGGCTCCTCCCTCCACAGAGAGGCATGAGGTATGAAGAAAGAGTTGGGCCTAACGTCGCCAGAAAGGAAAGTGAGGGGACATGATAGAGACATACATAATACTTACATATACAGAGGTACTGAAATTGGAGAAGGTGAAAATGTTCGCACAACAGAGCAAGAGTGCATGTGGAGGCAGGCTTGAGAAACAGATGAGCCATAGAGATATTGGTAATGGATTGGGAGCATTTGCGTTAGGCGATCTACATGTATCGAGGCGGGGCCCATGAGTTAAAGCACACACACACAGGTGTACTCACCTATTTGTATTCACCTATTTGTGCTTGCGGGGGTTGAGCTCTGGCTCTTTGGTCCCGCCTCTCAACTGTCAATCAACTGGTGTACAGGTTCCTGAGCCTATTGGGCTCTATCATATCTACACTTGAAACTGTGTATGGAGTCAGCCTCCACCACATCACTGCCTAATGCATTCCACCTGTTAACTACTCCCACACTGAAAAAGTTCTTTCTAACGTCTCTGTGGCTCATGTGGGCACTCAATTTCCACCTGTGTCCCCTTGTTCGTGTGCCCCTTGTGTTAAAAAGTCTGTCTTTATCTACCCTATCAATTCCTCTGAGAATCTTGTATGTGGTGATCATGTCCCCTCTGTGAGTGTGTGTGTGTGTGTGTTTGTGAAAAAAAATAGTTAGCAACAGTTGGTTGATTGACAGTTGAGAGGCGGGCCGCTCTGAACTCGGACCCATCCTGTTTCTAAGATATGTAAACGATCTTCCAGAGGGTATAGACTCATTCTTCTCAATGTTTGCTGATGATGCAAACATTATGAGAAGAATCAAGACGGATGAAGATAGACAGAGACTACAGGATGACCTGGACAAACTGGTGGAATGGTCTAGAAAATGGCTGCTAAAGTTCAACTCGGGAAAGTGTAAAGTAATGAAATTAGGCGAAGGGAGCAGGAGGCTGAACACAAGGTACCATCTGGGAGGTGATAACCTGCAAGAGTCAAATAGAGAGAAAGATCTGGGGGTCGATATCACACCGAACCTATCCCCAGAGGCCCACATCAAAAGGATATCATCAGCGGCATATGCTAGACTGGCCAATATAAAAACAGAAGAGTAAGGGGAGACATGATAACCACCTACAAAATTCTCAGGGGAATTGACAGGCTGGACAAAGACAAACTCTTCAGCGCGGGTGGGACACGAACAAGGGGACACAGGTGGAAACTTAGTACCTACATGAGCCACAGAGACGTTAGAAAGAACTTTTTCAGTGTCAGAGTAGTTAACAGGTGGAATGCATTAGGCAGTGATGTGGTGGAGGCTGACTCCATACACAGTTTCAAGTGTAGATATGATAGAGCCCAATAGGCTCAGGAACCTGTACACCAGTTGATTGACGGTTGAGAGGCGGGACCAAAGAGCCAGAGCTCAACCCCCGCAAACACAATTTGGTGAGTACAACTAGGTGAGTACACACGTTAAGAAATGCTTACATTGTGTGAACTTAGAACTGTTACATCTGGCTGTGTACTGGACTGTTACATCTGGCTGTGTACTGGACTGTTTACATCTGGTTGTGTACTGAACTGTTTACATCTGGCTGTGGACTGAACTGTTTACATCTGGCTGTGTACTGGACTGTTTACATCTGGTTGTGTACTGAACTGTTTACATCTGGCTGTGGACTGAACTGTTTACATCTGGCTGTGTACTGGACTGTTTACATCTGGTTGTGTACTGAACTGTTTACATCTGGCTGTGTACTGGACTGTTACATCTGGCTGTGTACTAGACTGTTACATCTGGCTGTGTACTGAACTGTTACATCTGGCTGTGTACTGGACTGTTTACATCTGGCTGTGTACTGGACTGTTTACATCTGGCTGTGTACTGGACTGTTTACATCTGGTTGTGTACTGGACTGTTACATCTGGCTGTGTACTGAACTGTTACATCAGGTTGTGTACTGGACTGTTACATCTGGCTGTGTACTGGACTGTTTACATCTGGCTGTGTACTGGACTGTTTACATCTGGTTGTGTACTAGACTGTTACATCTGGCTGTGTACTGGACTGTTTACATCTGGCTGTGTACTGGACTGTTTACATCTGGTTGTGTACTGGACTGTTAATCTGGCTGTGTACTGAACTGTTACATCTGGCTGTGTACTGAACTGTAACATCTGGCTGTGTACTAGACTGTTACATCTGGCTGTGTACTGAACTGTTACATCTGGCTGTGTACTGGACTGTTACATCAGGCTGTGTACTAGACTGTTACATCTGGCTGTGTACTGAACTGTTACATCTGGCTGTGTACTGGACTGTTACATCAGGCTGTGTACTAGACTGTTACATCTGGCTGTGTACTGAACTGTTACATCTGGCTGTGTACTGGACTGTTACATCAAGCTGTCTACTGAACTGTTACATCTGGCTGTGTACTGAATTGTTACATCTGGCTGTGGACTGAACTGTTACATCTGGCTGTGTACTGAACTGTTACATCTGGCTGTGGACTGAACTGTTACATCTGACTGTGTACTGAACTGTTACATCTGACTGTGTACTGGACTGTTACATCAGGCTGTCTACTGAACTGTTACATCTGGCTGTGTACTGAACTGTTACATCTGGCTGTGGACTGAACTGTTACATCTGACTGTGTACTGAACTGTTACATCTGACTGTGTACTGGACTGTTACATCAGGCTGTCTACTGAACTGTTACATCTGGCTGTGTACTGAACTGTTACATCTGGCTGTGGACTGAACTGTTACATCTGACTGTGTACTGAACTGTTACATCTGACTGTGTACTGGACTGTTACATCTGGCTGTGGACTGAATTGTTACATCTGGCTGTGTACTGAACTGTTACATCTGGCTGTGTACTGAACTGTTACATCTGGCTGTGTACTGAACTGTTACATCTGGCTGTGTACTGAACTGTTACATCTGGCTGTGTACTAGAGAGCCCCCCCCACACCACCCGTCAACGCCTCGCGAAATCGCACGAATTCCATGTGAAAATAGTGGTGATATGCGGGCATAGAGGTGTGGGCGTGGGCTGTGGGCGGGGGTAGAGGTGTGTGTGTGGTGGCGGAGGGTGGGGTATGGGGGCACAGGTGGGGTATATAAGGACGCCCGCGTCCCGCTGCCCTTCATAGTGCTCGCAAGTGAGAGGAAGAGAGAGTGACATTCGCTACACCTACTGCGTAGTGTTGGACTTGTTTTGTGTATTTACATTGGTGAGTACAGCGCGGTTGACAGTCGGTGGCGACCTGTCAACTGTCATTCGACGTCCTTGACACCACATTGACAGGATCTGGCTTTCTGGAGGACGATATGAGTTGCAGAGATGTTTTCCAAGTGTCTGAGTGACGGAGTGGTGGAGAGGAGGCAGTGAGTGACTGGGCGTCAGATATCAAGGCCTCTGATGTCAGATATCAAGGCCCTGATGTCAGATATCAAGGCCTCTGATGTCAGATATCAAGGCCCTGATGTCAGATATCAATGCCTCTGATGTCAGATATCAAGGCCCTGATGTCAGATATCAAGGCCTCTGACGTCAGATATCAAGGCCTCTGGCGTCAGATAGCAAGGCCTCTGATGTCAGATATCAAGGCCTCTGACGTCAGATATCAAGGCCCTGACGTCAGATATCAAGGCCTCTGACGTCAGATATCAAGGCCTCTGACGTCAGATATCAAGGCCTTTGACGTCAGATATCAAGGCCTCTGACGTTAGATAGCAAGGCTTTTGACGTCAGATATCAAGGCCTCTGACGACAGATATCAAGGCCTCTGACGTCAGATATCAAGGCCTCTGACGTCAGATATCAAGGCCTCTGACGTTAGATAGCAAGGCTTTTGACGTCAGATATCAAGGCCTCTGACGTCAGATATCAAGGCCTCTGACGTCAGATATCAAGGCCTCTGACGTTAGATAGCAAGGCTTTTGACGTCAGATATCAAGGCCTCTGACGACAGATATCAAGGCCTCTGACGTCAGATCTCAAGGCCTCTGACGTCAGATATCAAGGCCTCTGACGTCAGATATCAAGGCCTCTGACGTCAGATATCAAGGCCTCTGACGTCAGATAGCAAGGCCTCTGACGTCAGATAGCAAGGCCTCTGACGACAGATATCAAGGCCTCTGACGTCAGATATCAAGGCCTCTGACGACAGATATCAAGGCATCTGACGTCCAGTGTTGTCTTAATGTGTCCCTTTTTGTCATTTTTTGCCTGAATTTACCTGTGGGACGCCTTTGGTGGCCCTGGAAGGGGGCCAGGGAGCCGGATAGAAGGTCAAGACCCATAGTCAGAGGGCAGGTGGCCGGCTGGAGGGATGTAACAATGGGGTTATCTTGAGGATATCTTGAGGTTATCTTGAGGTTATCTTGAGGGTATTTTGAGGTTATCTTGAGATGATTTCGGGGCTTTAGTGTCCCCGCGGCCCGGTCCTCGACCAGGCCTCCACCCCCAGGAAGCAGCCCGTGACAGCTGGCTAACACCCAGGTACCTATTTTACTGCTAGGTAACAGGGGCATAGGGTGAAAGAAACTCTGCCCATTGTTTCTCGCCGGCGCCCGGGATCGAACCCGGAACCACAGGATCACAAGTCCAGCGTGCGGTCCTCTCGGCCGACCGGAGGAAGGAAGAGCGGAAAGCGGAAGGTGTCTACACCATAAGTGAAAGGCCACTACATGTGAGGTTTGGGATATAATTCCATCATCACTACCACCAGTGGTACACACACAGACAGGGTGCCATCAGCGGCATACGACCTGCTGGCGAACATTAGAACCTTCGTTTATAGTCAGCATAGCATTCTATATACCACTCTATACCATTCTATATATATATATATATATATATATATATATATATATATATATATATATATATATATATATATATATATATATATATATATATATATATATATATATATATAGCATTCTACACCACGACTTCAAAGGACAATGTCTCCTTTGCTGGGAGTCGGTCGGCCGAGCGGACAGCACGCTGGACTTGTGATCCTGTGGTCCTGGGTTCGATCCCTGGCGCCGGCGAGAAACAATGGGCAGAGTGCCTTTCACCCTATGGCCCCTGTTACCTAGCAGTAAAATAGGTACCTGGGTGTTAGTCAGCTGTCAAGGGCTGCTTCCTGAGGGGTGGAGGCCTGGTCGAGGACCGGGCCGCGGGGACTTTAAAAAGCCCCGAAATCATCTCAAGATAACTTCAAGATAACCACTTGTGTTAGACCAATACTGAACTATGCAGCACCGGCCTGAAACCCACATATACGAAGCATAAAATTAAAACTGAAAAAATGCAGAGATTTGCGACTAGATTAGTGCCAGAGCTTTGTGAGTTACCTGTGAGGGTGTAGAAACTGGGCCTCACAATTATGGAGGACTGAAGAATCACAGACATGACCACAACATACAAGATACTGAGGGGGATAGACAAGGTGAATATGGCCTCTATTTATTGAGAGAAAGTTGGACGACTATAAGAAGTTCTTGAAGCCACCTCCAGCAACAACTTTAAAGCCAGATTCAACAATGAATCTGAACGTGAGAATAGTTAAGGTATAAGGGAACAGGTACAACAAGGCTGGTTGGCGAGGCATGTGGAGGTAGATCTCTCTCCACAGTAATCACTGACGGGTAAGTGCCCAACACTTCAACTCTGTGAATGAACTGAAGATCTTCATGTGTACATCGCGCATGTACATTACGTGTGTGTACACCACTTGTGTACACCACTTGTGTACACCACGTGTGTACAATGCATCTTGGAGAACGCGACAAAACCAACAATATACTGCCCCAGCCATCATGGAAACAGGAGACTGATAAGGTGCAGTGCACTCAAAGACATATACACTTATACATATTAGTGAGCTGCTTCACCTTCACCTCGTGTGTGTGTGTGTGTGTGTGTGTGTGTGTGTGTGTGTGTGTGTGTGTGTGTGTGTGTGTGTGTGTGTGTGTGTGTGTGTGTGTGTGTGTGTGTGTGCTCACCTAATTGTACTCACCTAATTGTGCTTGCGGGTGTTGAGCTCTGGCTCTTTGGTCCCGCCTCTCAACCGTCAATCAACTGGTGTACAGATTCCTGAGCCTATTGGGCTCTATCATATCTACATTTGAAACTGTGTATGGAGTCAGCCTCCACCACATCACTTCCTAATGCATTCCATTTACTAACTACTCTGACACTGAAAAAGTTCCTTCTAACGTCTCTGTGGCTCATTTGGGTACTCAGTTTCCACCTGTGTCCCCTTGTTAGCGTCCCACCAGTGCTGAATAGTTCATCCTTGTTTACCCGGTCGATTCCCCTGAGGATTTTGTAGGTTGTGATCATGTCCCCCCTTACTCTTCTGTCTTCCAGTGTCGTAAGGTGCATTTCCCGCAGCCTTTCCTCATAACTCATGCCTCTTAGTTCTGGGACTAGTCTAGTAGCATACCTTTGGACTTTTTCCAGCTTCGTCTTGTGCTTGACAAGGTACGGGCTCCATGCTGGGGCCGCATACTCCAGGATTGGTCTTACATATGTGGTGTACAAGATTCTGAATGATTCCTTACACAGGTTCCTGAACGCCGTTCTGATGTTAGCCAGCCTCGCATATGCCGCAGATGTTATTCTCTTTATGTGGGCTTCAGGAGACAGGTTTGGTGTGATATGTGTGTGTGTGTGTGTGTGTTGTTGAATATGACCGAAAGAGTAAGATTAATAATTCTAACACGAATCTTCTCAATATTTATCATATTTTCTTCACTGTCGGGGATAGTTGAAAAATTAACTCACCAAAGTTCATTTTCACATTTTATTTATGATCTGACGCCTAGAAGCGTTTCACAAGACACTTCTTACATTTCCAAAGACAATTTTACATTGCTAATGCTTATATTTGCTTGAGGCGAGGCGATACAGGACATGATAGAGATGAACAAGTTGATCAGTGGGAACACCATTGCTTGTTCTATCTTCTTCCTTCTCTGTTGGTCCGGGGTCTTGAAGTGGGTAGAATGTATTTAGGTGTAAAATTGGCTGTTGATTGTTGGTTTTAACTTTTTACTGTGTAGTGCCTCGCTGATGTCGAGTCTCCTGTTGTCGCTGTATCTGTCGATAATTTCTGTGTTGCTTGTTAAGATGTCTCTGGTGATGGTCTGGTTGTGTGAGGAGATTATATGCTCCTTGATGGAGCCCTGTTGTTTGTGCATTGTTAATCGCCTGGAAAGAGACGTTGTTGTCTTGCCTATATACTGAGATCTTTTGGACTTACAGTCCCCAAGTGGGCATTTGAAGGCATAGACGACGTTGGTCTCCTTCAAGGCGTTCTGTTTGGTGTCTGGAGAGTTTTTCATGGGTAGGTTGGCTGTGTTGTTTGTAGTAAATTATTAATTGTATCTTCTGATTTGTGTCTGAAGGGATAACGTTCCTATTAATAATATCTTTCAAGACACTTTTCTCCGTTTTATATATATATATAACTGGTATAGCCAGCCCTCCAGGGCTGAAAACCATCATTAAGAAACCCATTCATACCCAGATCTCTACTACCATCTATTGACATAGATAATAGCTCCAAAGAACCTCCATTTACGGGCTCACCATAGCCCGTGCTACTTGGAACATTTTTGTTCCGAGTAGCTGAATCTAAAAAACAACATATGTGAAATTGTCTTTGAAAATGTAAGAAGTGTCTTGCGAAACGCTTCTAGTCGTCAGACCAAAAATAAAATGTGAAAATGAACTTTGTAGAGTTAATTTTTCAACTACCCTCGAAAGTGAAGAAAAACATAAGATATATTGAGAAGACTCGTGTTAGAATCATAAATCTTACTCTTTCGGTCGTATTCAACAACATATGTTTACAAGGAAGACTGCTACCAATATATATATATATATATATATATATATATATATATATATATATATATATATATATATATATAATCTTTGGACAACACCCACCAGTGGGCCTCGAACCCAGAAAGCACAGCTACCTTCCAGTAGCTGCCATAACTAGTACGCCTTAACCCACTACACCACTCAGACCCTTAAAAGAAGTAGAGATTTTGAGGTATTTATACACCTCAAATATCCCCACTTCCCAAGGGCACCAGACTAGTGAGGGGTTACTATACGTTTTTCATCAAGCCACTGTTAATGTGGGAGAACTCGTCTCCATGCTATAAGCCCATACTTATATATATATATATATATATATATATATATATATATATATATATATATATATATATATATATATATATATATATATATATATATATATATATATATATATATATATATATATAATAATAATTTGGTTACATGTTAAGGTGTAAGATGTTGTTGTTAATAAGTAAGGTGTTCCAGAGGAGGCAGACGGGACAAGAGCGCCAAGATGGTGGGCACCAAGACGACCAAGACGGTGACGGTACAGAGGCGCGGCACCTTCGGCGACGACCCCTTCTTCAAGGACTCGTTGCAGGAGTGGGAGGAGGCCATGAAGAAGGTGGTGGACCGGTGGGACGACGCGGGCACAACCACTACCACCACCACCACCACCAAGCCCGAGACACGCACTGTATACCGCCAGATCCGCTCCTCGAATGTTACTTCTGACGACACCCAGGCTGTCTCCTGCACCGAGGAGGATGATAAGTACAAGGTGAGGCACGCTGTCCCCTAGCCTGGTCCCTGGTCCCTGCCCCTTGTCCCTTACACTGGTCCCTGGTCCCTGCCCCTTGTCCCTTACACTGGTCCCTGGTCCCTGCCCCTGGTCCCTGGTCCCTGCCCCTGGTCCCTTACACTGGTCCCTGGTCCCTGCCCCTTGTCCCTTACACTGGTCCCTGGTCCCTGTCCCTGGTCCCTTACACTGGTCCCTGGTCCCTGCCCCTGGTCCCTTAGCCTGGTCCCTGGTCCCTGCCCCTTGTCCCTTACACTGGTCCCTGGTCCCTGCCCCTTGTCACTTACACTGGTCCCTGGTCCCTGCCCCTTGTCCCTTACACTGGTCCCTGGTCCCTGCCCCTTGTCCCTTACACTGGTCCCTGGTCCCTGCCCCTTGTCCCTTACACTGGTCCCTGGTCCCTGGTCCCTGCCCCTGGTCCCTTACACTGGTCCCTGGTCCCTGCCCCTTGTCCCTTACACTGGTCCCTGGTCCCTGCCCCTGGTCCCTTACACTGGTCCCTGCCCCTGGTCCCTGGTCCCTGCCCCTTGTCCCTTACACTGGTCCCTGGTCCCTGCCCCTTGTCCCTTACACTGGTCCCTGGTCCCTGCCCCTTGTCCCTTACACTGGTCCCTGGTCCCTGCCCCTGGTCCCTGCCCCTGGTCCCTTACACTGGTCCCTGGTCCCTGCCCCTTGTCCCTTACACTGGTCCCTGGTCCCTGCCCCTTGTCCCTTACACTGGTCCCTGGTCCCTGCCCCTGGTCCCTTAGCCTGGTCCCTGGTCCCTGCCCCTGGTCCCTTACACTGGTCCCTGCCCCTTGTCCCTTAGCCTGGTCTCTGGTCCCTGCCCCTGGTCCCTTACACTGGTCCCTGGTCCCTGCCCCTTGTCCCTTACACTGGTCCCTGGTCCCTGCCCCTTGTCCCTTACACTGGTCCCTGGTCCCTGCCCCTTGTCCCTTACACTGGTCCCTGGTCCCTGCCCCTGGTCCCTGCCCCTGGTCCCTTACACTGGTCCCTGGTCCCTGCCCCTTGTCCCTTACACTGGTCCCTGGTCCCTGCCCCTGGTCCCTTACACTGGTCCCTGGTCCCTGCCCCTGGTCCCTTCCCCTGGTCCCTGCCCCTGGTCCCTTCCCCTGGTCCCTGCCCCTGGTCCCTGCCCCTGGTCCCTAATGTAACTTCTAAAACATAAGTTGTGTATTAATGAGGAAAGTAACAGTGTGTTACTCTGTCATCAGTGTGAGGACCTCCTGATGAACACAGTCTAAGTTACTGTTACTTGTTAAGTTCCTGTAGTGGTAGGGGGTGTTCCCTGCCCACTACAGGGGGCGTTCCCTGCCCACTACAGGGGGCGTTCCCTGCCCACTACAGGGGGCGTTCCCTGCCCACTACAGGGGCGTTCCCTGCCCACTACAGGGGCGTTCCCTGCCCACTACAGGGGGCGTTCCCTGCCCACTACAGGGGCGTTCCCTGCCCACTACAGGGGCGTTCCCTGCCCACTACAGGGGGCGTTCCCTGCCCACTACAGGGGGCGTTCCCTGCCCATTACAGGGGCGTTCCCTGCCCACTACAGGGGCGTTCCCTGCCCACTACAGGGGCGTTCCCTGCCCACTACAGGGGCGTGCCCTGCCCACTACAGGGGCGTTCCCTGCCCACTACAGGGGGCGTTCCCTGCCCACTACAGGGGCGTTCCCTGCCCACTACAGGGGGCGTTCCCTGCCCACTACAGGGGCGTTCCCTGCCCACTACAGGGGCGTTCCCTGCCCACTACAGGGGCGTTCCCTGCCCACTACAGGGGCGTTCCCTGCCCACTACAGGGGCGTTCCCTGCCCACTACAGGGGGCGTTCCCTGCCCACTACAGGGGCGTTCCCTGCCCTCTACAGGGGGCGTTCCCTGCCCACTACAGGGGCGTTCCCTGCCCACTACAGGGGCGTTCCCTGCCCACTACAGGGGCGTTCCCTGCCCACTACAGGGGCGTTCCCTGCCCACTACAGGGGCGTTCCCTGCCCACTACAGGGGCGTTCCCTGCCCACTACAGGGGCGTTCCCTGCCCACTACAGGGGCGTTCCCTGCCCACTACAGGGGGCGTTCCCTGCCCACTACAGGGGCGTTCCCTGCCCACTACAGGGGCGTTCCCTGCCCACTACAGGGGCGTTCCCTGCCCACTACAGGGGCGTTCCCTGCCCACTACAGGGGCGTTCCCTGCCCACTACAGGGGCGTTCCCTGCCCACTACAGGGGGGCGTTCCCTGCCCACTACAGGGGCGTTCCCTGCCCACTACAGGGGCGTTCCCTGCCCACTACAGGGACACTCCCCCCTGCCCACTACAGGGACACTCCCCCCTGCCCACTACAGGGACACTCCCCCCTGCCCACTACAGGGACACTCCCCCCTGACCACTACAGGGACACTCCCCCCTGCCCACTACAGGAGCAGCAATAATTCTCGCTAACAATAGCGGTGTCCCCTCCCAATACACAAAGAGTGGTCCGCCCCGTCCACGAACTACGAGTGCCTGCTAAACAACCTACTTGACGTCACAGATGATGGTCGACGTCAAGGACTTCAAGCCTGAGGACATCAACGTGAAGATCGTGGACGACACGGTGGTGGTGGAGGGCAAGATAGAGAAGAAAGAAGGGAACGCCGTGTCGACGCAGATGTTTACTCGGAGATTCATTCTCCCGCCTTCCATTAACCTCAACGGTGTGTCTTCGGCCCTCTCTCGCGACGGTGTCCTCACCATCAACGCCCCCAAGCTGGTGAGTGGCTCTGGTGGTTCCTGGATGGTGAGTGGCTCTGGTGGTTCCTGGATGGTGAGTGGCTCTGGTGGTTCCTGGATGGTGAGTGGCTCTGGTGGTTCCTGGCTGGTGAGTGGCTCTTGGTCCTCACCATCAACGCCCCCAAGATGGTGAGTGCCTCTGGTGCCTGGATGGTGAGTGGCTCTGGTGGTTCCTGGATGGTGGTTCCTGGATGGTGAGTGCCTCTGGTTCCAGGATGGTGAGTGCCTCTGGTTCCAGGATAGTGAGTGCCTCTGGTTCCAGGATTGTGAGTGCCTCTGGTTCCAGGATAGTGAGTGCCTCTGGTGGTTCCAGGATAGTGAGTGCCTCTGGTTCCAGGATTGTGAGTGCCTCTGGTTCCAGGATGGTGAGTGCCTCTGGTTCCAGGATGGTGAGTGCCTCTGGTTCCTGGATGGTGGGTGCCTCTGGTGCCTGGATGGTGAGTGCCCCTGGTTCCTGGATGGTGAGTGCCTCTGGTTCCAGGATTGTGAGTGCCTCTGGTTCCAGGATGGTGAGTGCCTCTGGTTCCTGGATGGTGAGTGCCTCTGGTTCCAGGATTGTGAGTGCCTCTGGTTCCAGGATGGTGAGTGCCTCTGGTTCCAGGATGGTGAGTGCCTCTGGTTCCAGGATTGTGAGTGCCTCTGGTTCCAGGATGGTGAGTGCCTCTGGTTCCTGGATGGTGAGTGCCTCTGGTTCCTGGATGGTGAGTGCCTCTGGTTCCTGGATGGTGAGTGCCTCTGGTTCCTGGATGGTGGGTGCCTCTGGTGCCTGGATGGTGAGTGCCCCTGGTTCCTGGATGGTGAGTGCCTCTGGTTCCAGGATGGTGAGTGCCTCTGGTTCCTGGATGGTGAGTGCCTCTGGTTCCTGCATGGTGAGTGCCTCTGGTTCCAGGATTGTGAGTGCCTCTGGTTCCAGGATGGTGAGTGCCTCTGGTTCCTGGATGGTGAGTGCCTCAGGTTCCAGGATTGTGAGTGCCTCTGGTTCCAGGATGGTGAGTGCCTCTGGTTCCAGGATGGTGAGTGCCTCTGGTTCCTGGATGGTGAGTGCCTCTGGTTCCAGGATGGTGAGTGCCTCTGGTTCCAGGATGGTGAGTGCCTCTGGTTCCAGGATGGTGAGTGCCCCTGGTTCCTGGATGGTGAGTGCCTCTGGTTCCAGGATGGTGAGTGCCTCTGGTGCCTGGATGGTGAGTGCCTCTGGTTCCAGGATGGTGAGTGCCTCTGGTTCCTGGATGGTGAGTGCCTCTGGTTCCAGGATGGTGAGTGCCTCTGGTGCCTGGATGGTGAGTGCCTCTGGTTCCAGGATGGTGAGTGCCTCTGGTTCCTGGATGGTGAGTGCCTCTGGTTCCAGGATGGTGAGTGCCTCTGGTGCCTGGATGGTGAGTGCCTCTGGTTCCAGGATGGTGAGTGCCTCTGGTTCCAGTGAACTTTGGTAAACGTTTGTACAAATTATATATATTTTTTGCAATTTCTTTAAATAATAATAATAATAATAATGAACAAATCCACAAAGCCTGTGATGAGAGTTCGAACCTACGTACAGGATGTTCCCAGACGCGCCTTAGTCAACTGTACCAACTAGTGAGTGCTACTGGCCCCCCCCCCCTACGAGGGTCCCGAAGCTTCTACTGAAGCCTAACCGGAGAGTCACACAATCTCCCCCCTGCACCCGGGCTTGCCTCTGCTGCCGCTCCGTCAGTACCCTTGAAGTAGGTCCTCGTGGAGGCACTAACACTACAGGGGTACAATTCTTTGACCATGTCGCGGGTACAGTTGACTAGCGCCCGTCTGGGAACATCCTGTGTGTAGGTTCGAACCCTCATCAATGCCCTTGTGGATTTGTTCATTTGATATATTATGTTATTGTGATTTCTGAATGTAATATAATGTCAAGTATTTGATGTTCAGTTTCTTTAAATAGCAGATTGTTTGCACCTTAAACCTTCTTAAAATAGTAAATTATTTTCACCTTAAAGCTTCTTAAAATAGTAAATTATTTTCACTTTAAAGCTTCTTAAAATAGTAAATTATTTTCACCTTAAACTGAGCAAAATATTCACCTGAATATTCAAAATATTCAATATAAAATATTTTAATATTATTGACAGTAATTCAATTTAGTTCTTCATAATTAATTGTATTTTTTGTTCTTTCCTCTGTAGAAGTAGACATCAGAATTAACGTGAATTTTTGTTTTGGTATTTAGTATTTAGATGACTATTAAGCTGTTGACTGTGTTCGCATTAGTTGTGCTAACCCGTCATGCGCAGTAGAGCTTCCTTTGTTTATGTTGAGCATGTGTGTATGTGTCAGGCGAGCCACGTGACCAGTCGTCAGCGAAATGTTCCCATCACCTCCGGCGCCAAGAACGGCTCAACCACCTTCACCAGCAGGCCGAGCGGCTTCACTCCGAGCACCTCGGACCAGCACACCGGGTCAGACAAGCGCTACCTCTCCCACACTCCCCTGCACGAGAATGCTGCCAAGGGCGCCGCCCACACGCCCCTCCACACTGAAGTCGTCGAGCACTCCTCGCGCGACCACTGGACCTCCTTCAACGACATGGTGGAGAAATCTCAGCGGGAAATGGAAGACATGATGCGTCGCCACTCGCTGAAATCCAGTGTGGAGCCGACGGCGTCAGTCTCCACCAGTCTAGACGTTTCTAAGCCATCTAGCGCCCTGGTTCGACCCCCTGCGGGAGTGTCCACGAGTCATGACGTGATCACCGCGGGAAAGAACGTGACGGAGCGCAAGGAGCAGCGCTGGGAGGACAAACCTGCGCCCGGCGTCACCCGTACCAACCGCATCCTGAACGAGAACACCGAGTTGAAGGGCGCTGATGGGTCTGTTGTGGGTAGCAAGAAGCGCTCGGAGCAGGAGAGTCACGCCGAGGGCTCCAACGAGCAGGTTCTCCCCGACGGCACCAAAAAGCGAACCTTCACTAAAAACTATGAGACCCGCAAGGTGTACAGCTTCAACACCAGCGACCCCAAGGCCTTGTGAGTGAGCCGGCCTGGACACGTAGAGAACTGGATACATACACGAACGACCCCAAGGCCTTGTGAGTGAGCCGGCCTAGACACGTAGAGAACTGGATACATACACGAACGACCCCAAGGCCTTGTGAGTGAGCCGGCCTAAACACGTAGAGAACTGGATACATACACGAACGACCCCAAGGCCTTGTGAGTGAGCCGGCCTAGACACGTAGAGAACTGGATACATACACGAACGACCCCAAGGCCTTGCCAGCAAGCCAGCCTGGACACGTAGAGAACTGGATAAATACATGTGTAGCGTCCATGATACATATGCTAGAGTCCGTGGCACTCTAGCAGGGCGTCAGCAGGACCAGACTAGGGCGTAGAGTGCGGCTGCTGACTCACGCTGACCAAGTTCACAGCTGACTGTCTCTCACTCCAAAACTACAACACTAATTTTATTTATTTGATGCATTTTGAAATGTCTTACAGTTCTGCAAAGATTATATCCATATACGGTACGCTTTCAACATATTTGTACAAAACAATTGAGTGGGAAACATTGTAAATTGCTAATTTGCCCATTAACACATACATGTACATTGTGTATTAAATTCCAAACGTTATTTTTATATAAAATAAAATACCATTTAAATCAGTTATGATATTTTTCTATATCCCTATATTTCGGGGGACCTGCTGCCTGGGTAACAGCTTCTCCCCCGTATCAACCTACCCTGGCTTTGTGCCCTGGAGAGGCCACTCCAGACCGACAACCAGAGCGCAACTCCATAGTCTCCTGAGACTGATGGATGACTACTACTACTCTATATTGTGAGGTGAAGGAGTGAGTGTCGCAGGTATACCGGGCAGGTGTGGTGGTTCTCACTCACATAATACAAAAGTACTGCTGAGGCCCTTACAGTGTGGACGTTGCAGGAACAGATAAAAAACACCACAAAAGTAATTTAAACACAATTTACTATAAGATTAATAAGGAAAATGACACTAGAGAACATTTAGAGAGGCAGGTGGAGTATCCATCGTATGTCTGGTGTTTGCTGTCATAGAGATGGACATCCAGTGTGTTGCAGGCGATGGTTATCTTGAGGTTATCTTGAGATGATTTCGGGGCTTTTTAGTGTCCCCGCGGCCCGGTCCTCGACCAGGCCTCCACCCCCAGGAAGCAGCCCGTGACAGCTGACTAACACCCAGGTACCTATTTTACTGCCAGGTAACAGGGTGAGTCACAATAACGTGGCTAAAGTATGTTGACCACACCACACACTAGAAGGTGACGGGACCACCACGTTTCGGTCCGTCCTGGACCATTCTCAAGTCGACTGTGAGAATGGTCCAGGACGGACCGAAACGTCGTCGTCCCTTCACCTTCTAGTGTGTGGTCTGGTCAACAACCAGTGTGATGGCACATGTGGGAGGAAGGGGGGCAGCTGCACTGCTATGCAGGGGATTTACGTGACTGTTCCTCCCTGAAGCCTCTTCCTATTACCTGAGATGTCGATATTGGAAGCGAGAGGTTCCACTTCATGGACACAGGATAGTGCATCTGCAACTATGTTGTCCGAGCCTTTGATGTTGAAGATCTTGAAGTTATAATTCTGTAGGAACAAGGCCCAACGGAGTATATGCTGGTTGGAGAATTGGGCTTCTTGCAGAAAACGAAGAGGAATAGAATAAATTGAGATGGGTTGGTGTCCTTGAGGATAAGTTCATATCACTGCAAGGACAGGATGTGGCTCCTTCTCTACAGTGCTACCTTACCTTGAGGCTACCTTGAGGTGCTTCCGGGGCTTAGTGTCCCCGCGGCCCGGTCGTCGACCAGGCCTCCTGGTTGGTGTTTGCTTTTACTGTTGTTTGTTGGTGAAGCTTCAGCTTGTAGCTGACTGGTAGGACTTCTCCCTCTCGCTGCTGCATCAGGACACTCCCCAATACCGGTGCTACTGGCATCAACATTAAGGATGAAGGGTTGTTTCACATCTGACGAGGCCAGAATGGGATTAGTACACAACTAATTAAGCCTACTTCTCGACTTTACTTGTCGGTAATCTGTGTACAATCTTACCTTGCCAAGTGGTTTTGGGACCAGTATGCATGGTGAAGGCCAGGGAGACTCACATGGTGTAGCTAATCCATTACTGAGGCGGTACTGTACTTCGGGGAACATGGCTTCTCTCTTCTGTAGACTGATGCGGTAGTGAGGCTGACAGATGGGCAGCGTTTCAGGGAGCAGCTGGATGTCACGTTGCACTACGGTACATTCCTCAGGAGTATCTTTAAATAGCTGTTTATGGGTAGAGGTTAGTTTGATCATCAGAGCACTATCATCAGAATGTTGTAGGTATTTGGTGAGATCATTTAATATTTCCAGATTAGAGGTCACTGTATTTGGATTATCGTTACACTCAGACGGAGAGGTAGCAGGGTATGTGTCACTGTTGGAATACCTCTCTGTAAAAGTGGATACCGACAACAATACTGGAGATGGATTGTTGACCAGACCACACACTAGAAAGCGAAGGGACGACGACGTTTCGGTCCGTCCTGGACCATTCTCAAGTCGATTGTATCAAGTTTCCAGATCGTCTACATCTGGAGGTGGATTACCTTGATAGGTTTTAAGCAGGTTGACGTGGCAGAGTTGTGTCTTGAGACGCCGATCCGGAGTCTCTAGAATGTAATTGTTGTTGTTCTTGCATTCTTTGATGCAATATGGTCCTGAAAATTTAGTAATGGAGAGGTTGGGATAGGAAAATATGCCAGGACGAAGTCTCCTATGTTAAACTTTCTTACTTTAGTGTTCTTGTCAAAGTGTGTTTTCGTCTTATGTTGGGAGGTCAGTAAATTAGCACTAGCAAACTTAAGCACTTGTTCAAGTTTATGTCTCAAGTTTTTAAGAAACTGAGATACATTAAGAGAATCACTAAAGGGGTTTGACGTTAAGGAATCTTTAAAGGCATTAAGAGGACCACAACACTTACGACTGTAGAGCATCTCATAAGGAGATACTCCAAGGGACTCATTAGGAAGACTTCTGAAAATACACACAAGGAGATCTAATTGATTATCCCAATCTTGATCAGTACTATACAAATTTGTTTAACATTGACTTGATGGTTTGATGGCTACGTTCAAGAGATCCCTGTGAAGCAAGATGATATGGACTTGAGGTTATCTTGAGATGATTTTGGGGCTTTAGTGTCCCCGCGGCCCGGTCCTCGACCAGGCCTCCACCCCCAGGAAGCAGCCCGTGACAGCTGACTAACTCCCAGGTACCTATTTACTGCTAGGTAACAGGGGCATTCAGGGTGAAAGAAACTTTGCCCATTTGTTTCTGCCTCGTGCGGGAATCGAACCCGCGCCACAGAATTACGAGTCCTGCGCGCTATCCACCAGGCTACGAGGCCACTCGTAGCCCTGGTGGACTCCTACGAGGACTATACAAGACTTGGATAATGTTAAATCCCTGAAGGGTTTCCTTAAACAACTGACTGGTGAAATTAGTTTCACAGTCACTTTGGATCTCCGAGAATCTATTCTGAGTGAAGAGCTTCAACAGATGCTTGACAACTGTAGCAGCCGTGATGGTCGTGACGGGGAACTGCTATTGGGAACCTGGTGGTTGGACACATAATGGTGATGAAGCACATGTTGCCTGCGTGGGTTCTTGGTAAGGGCCCCACGCAGTCTATGATGAGCTTGGAAAATGGTTCTGAAGGCACAAGAATAGGGATAAGTGGTGCCTTTGGAATAGGAACATTAGGTTTACCTGCCATTTGACATGTATGACAAGTACAAACAAAGGTCTTTATATCTCGTGCCATGCCTGGCCAAAAGTAATCTTGTATTTGAGCATTATATAATGATGCCATAATGAGACATCGGGAGAAGAGCTAGAGATATAATCTCTTTTCTGGAACTACCAACTGATCCACATTAGCCCAATCATCCTCTTCCTTGAGTTTATTGAGTCTGAATTTACGGTACAATAGTGAGTTGATCCCCAATGTAAAACCCTAGGATGGCATCGGTCATAAATTGGTCTTGGAAAAACACAGGAGTTAAAGAATTGTAAGCTTGTTGCAACTTACGGAACTCCAACTGGTTGAGATTAGGAGGGAGACCTCGCACGTCTTGAGGGACAGCTGCTGCTGCTACTTGTGGTGGTTGAGCGGCTTGAGCACGGGTAGTCACTAGCACAGGCTGGGAGATGTCTGCTGATTCTTCTGTCACGGTTACCTCGTCTGCTGCTGCATACGTCATGACATGGTCTTCTCTCGTGGCTGAGTCACACACCTGTTGTTTGTCTCAGATGATCAAATTCAACAGTCTCCGTGGTGTAGTGGTAAGACACTCGCCTGGTGTTCCGCGAGCGCTTTGTCAGGGGTTCGTATCCTGGCCGGGGAGGATTTACTGGGCGCAATTCCTTAACTGTAGCCTCTGTTTAACTCAACAGTAAAATGTGTACTTGGTTGTAACAACGATTCTTCGCGGCGGGGATCGTATTCCAGGGACCTGCCCGAAACGCTACGCGTACTAGTGGCTCTACAAGAATGTAACAACTCTTCTATATATCTCAAAAAAAAAAAAAAATTGGTGAAGTCTTGCTGGTTGGCCAAGTCGTTGCTCAGGAGAAGTTGAATTCCTGGCACGGAGAAATGCTTTTCTCAAATGGCGACTTTGACTTCTCCACTAATGAATGGACACTCCAGGTGGACTGTGGCGAGCGAGTAAGGTGTGGTAGCTGTCAGGTCGGTGATCAGGACGGTTTTCTTTTTTTTTTCTTTTTTGAGATATATAGAAGAGTTGTTACATTCTTGTAGAGCCACTAGTACGCGTAGCGTTTCGGGCAGGTCCTTAATCCTATGGTCCCTGGAATACGATCCCCGCCGCGAAGAATCCTTGTTACAACCAAGTACACATTTTACTGTTGCGTTAAACAGAGGCTACAGTTAAGGATTTGGGCGCAGTAAATCCTCCCCGGCCAGGATACGAACCCATGACATAGCGCTCGCGGAACGCCAGGCGAGTGTCTTACCACTACACCACGGAGACTGTTGAACCTCAAGTGTAGTTTCTCCAGTGTAGGTAACTTGAGGTGCAGCGGTTTTTAATAGAATACTCTACGGCGAAGCTGTGTCCCCTCAAGATGCATATTGGGCTCATTCCATCAGAATCTTAACCGTTGGCAGAGACAGTTCCTGGATACACCTGTCTGTCTAATAAAGCAAGATCAGTAATTGGAACATTTACATGTAATACATGCTTAGTAGGCTTAGGAAGTTGAGGCTTAGTGAGTCAGCTAATTGTCGATTTGCATCGAGGATTTGGACATTGATCAATAAGGTGTCCATAAGCTTTACGGTAGCTGCAGTAAAGTGCATAGTTAATGTCTTTATGACTTACTTTAGATGAAGCATGACTGGACCAATATGGTTTACTGGAAGAGGAGTCAAAAGGTTTATGGATTAGACTAGGCACATTTATCAAGGTTTATCTCTTCCTTATCTGCAAGATATAGGCATATGGGGGGTTAGGTTTACGTCGCATTAATTCCTCCATCAATACAAGGTTCATTAATTCCCTATAGGTGGTGACCTGTACTGATTCTAGCCATCTCTTGAAGTACCTGGTTTTGGT